GATAGCAAAATGATTTAATACTTTGTGAGTGCTTTTCCGTATCCTGTTTTGTTATTAATCTAGCAGAATGGATATATAATTATCAATATGAATCCCAATTTGCGTATTCTCCATCTAAAAGCTTCCTTCAATTATTCTTCCATCACAAAGAATGTGACGTTTTTTCATCCTACTTATGCAGTTAGCAATATATTGCATCACATAACTTTCTTAAAATTTATTGATAAGCAATTTATTTTTAGCTATTTTTTAATCAATCAATTTACCAGACTACAAGCGATAAAAAAATTAATGAAAGATAATTTGAATATTTCTCACTATGTCAACATTTTTCAGACTCTGAGCTCTTATATTTATATGTATATATATATATATATATTTTTTTTTTTTTTTTTTTAATATAATTTATAACATCTTGTGCTTGTATATGTGTTTATTTTATACGCCAAATGGAATACTGTGAATTTACGAATGAGACGGGTTTGTTTTTACTTCGAACGTCTTCTTCAAGTAGAAGTTATAAATGCATTAAAATTATATTTCAATAGATTAGATAGAGAGTTATATTATTATTTAATCCTAGTTATTAAAATTTAATAATCTATCGGAATTATAACCGATTTAAAATATATGAGTTGAATTAAAATTTGTTATCTATTAGTTCCATATTATATTTTTTCAGTTCGACATTTTTATTTAATTAACTACGCTATTACTCACACTCTAAAATATTTAAACATATTTATATACTGTTCATTTATAGTATTGGTCAAATAGAGAAAGTAAAATAGTTATTATTAATAATAGATAGAAGAATTATCATAATTATTGTAAATCGTTTTTAAATTATATTAGAGATTACAGATTTTATGGAAGACGAAATGTATAAATATATATATATATATGTGTATGTATGGCTGTGTAATTGAACAATTAAGATTTTTATTAATGAAAATATTTATGAATCATTTCTTTTAAAAAGCATCAAATTTATCATAATATTCTGCATATATACATTCAATAAATTTTACTACATAATCTAATTAGGGTATTAACATTTTAATTTTTAAAATTTTTTATAATTGTATATGTATTTTGCAAACTCTTGTGTCAAAATTTTTGTAAAGTATACTTGATTAAGGTATACTTTCACTTTCAAATATTCAGTATTTTAAATACAATAATGAATTTGAAATAGAAAAGAAAAGAACATTTTTACAACCAGTGATATAATATCGTGACGAAAGAAATATTATATTTAGTAATCATTAAGAAAAAAATAATAGTATCTAGTAAAGATGAAATAATATTTAAAATTATTTTACATATTCAATATTTAAATAATTTTTTTTCAATCGTGTTTATAAATGATTATGCGCAGTTTCTAAATTAGAATTTTTCAAAATCCTAACTATTTAAAAGTCAAGAGCAATTTTACTAATTACTGTCAAATAAAATCGTTAATATAAAATTTCGTCCTTCTAATTTTATTTTACGACAATTTGGAAAGTTCTAATTGAATATTATATTTACATGGATGATAAAATTTGAAATTTTTATGAAAATTGCATAGGTCATTAATACTTATTATCTTCTAATAATAAGACATTGTTCGACTCTGAAATTCGAAAATCGCTTAATGCATCAAATTTTGTACATATTAATATATATATAATAATTTAATTTATCGATATGATATTGATACATGTAAAACAACTTAAAATGTTTAACGTAAATAAAAAATTCAGAATGAAAAAATTAATTTATGTCCTATTTCTTTTAAAATTAGCCTTTGATATTGTAATTGGAGAATATGTAATTAATTCCGAAAACTAGAAAATCAAGTTGACCGTTAGTAAATATTTTTTAACTTTAAAATATCATTTATTTTGTGTGTATTAAAATAGATAATAATTTTAAAATAGATTTGAAAATAAAGTAAACAAAATGTCCGTTCTTTTTATAAACGTAGCTTTTATATATGTTCACAAGAATTTTGAAAATGTAAAATAGAAATATTATTAATTAACTACTTTTTAAGTATTATATATAATTATATATTATGATTATAATACGTATATGATAAGATTAATGTTAGAAAAATTAAATCTATATAAATCATTAAACATTAAGATATATTGTCATAAATACATTGTAGATTGTCATGGGTACGTTGTCATAAATATTTTACATGGGGAATATTTTTAAGTATAATATCTAAAAAGACCTTTTTACATAGTTTTTTTTTTTTTTTTTTTTATATTAAATGCATTCATATTAAATGATTTATTTATTTAGTCATTTATTTCCTGATTAGATCTAACATGATTGATAAAATGTATTTTATAAAAATGATAAAGAAGGAAATTACGGTTACTTAAACATAGATCGAATATTGCATGAAAAGTTATTTATTTCATACCAATTAAACTGTTATACAAAAGAGTATAAAAAAATTTGCATACCAATAAACAAATGTGCAAAGTAATTTTCGTTATAAAAGAATTTATATATTTATATTAAGTAAATTCTTTTCAACTTATCATACACCACAACAATTCTCGATGTGAAGAAGTTAAATTAGAAAAATGTCATTTATTATAAGGAAAATATCAATAAAATCTAATGAACGTGAAAACAATCCTTAAATATAGAAAAGAAAGATAAATTACTTTCCGTTTAATAAACACTTTTTCCTGATAACATCAAGGGAATATATAAAATGGAAATATCTTATATTTTGTTTTTCAAAACGTTTTATTAATTAAAAACGTATTCATATTCTTAGAAGGATGTTTTTAAAATGTTTAGATGATTATTGTTAAAAAAAAAAAAAAATAACGTACACAAATTTCTATATTTCTTACAGAGAATAATTAAATGAAACGTATGTTTTTTTTAATAATGTTTCATCTCTTGATTACAATCAATCACTAATTTGAAGTTCAATAAGCGAATTCTAAGTAAATGCAATAACTTTGTACGTGTACATGGATGTTTCTCTACTTTTTAAGGATAAAATTTGTTTTTTTTTTTGTGATAAATTGTTTTGGCAGTTTAAAAGAGTCTTTATATTTATCTGAATAAATAGCGATATCAATCAAGAAAATGTGTAACTATCATTATATTAAATTCCAATGTTTTAAAAAACAAAAATATATTTCTTACCCTACGCATACGCTATATACGACCGATAAATTTAAATTAATAAAAGTTTTATTTCTCTACAAAAATTCGTGAAATATATATATTTTATACTTTTTATTGTTGATCTCTATCGAGAACAACAAAATTTCTTCGCACTTTAACAACTTTTTTCTTTGCGCATAGGCTCAAAAATCATTGTATAAATGCACGTACACGATTACGTATGTTCGCCTGTTACTATTTTATATTTAATATTTAATATATAAATAATCGTTGGAAAAAAGTATAATTTACCAAATAATTGAATGGACCATTAATAAATAACTGCAATCTTTTTGTAAATTTTGAGGCTAAAATACCTGTATGAAATTTTAATGCTACAAGAAGATATTTCATTTTCGATTAATATATTTACTAGATATCTCAAAGTAATTATAATGAGACATTATGTTGTAAGAGGGCATTTATAAACTTCAATATAATTTAGAAATAATGTTAATAACTTGTCGGTAGCGTATATAGTAGCAAACCATTTATGTAAAAATTCTTTGTTCATAATAAAGGCGAAATTGAATTGAAGTAGCGAAGAACAAATCGTGAATAATTTTATATATTAGGCACAATTTTATATATCAGTGAACACGATAGTATTCACGAGGATTTATTGTTCGAACATAGAATTACGTATCACTTGTACATTTATAAAATAGAAACATTCTAAATTTCATTTATTGCGTGATGCCTCTTAATCATTGTACAAGTGGCTAATGCATCGCGATACTCTTTTTCACATAAATTTCGTAGAAAGTAAATTTCATACAAAATTTTAATGATTGTATTTGAAAATAATGCTTATCATCTTTAAGACAAAGGTATAAAAAATATTAATGGCATTTTAATTATAAATTTACTGCTTATATCAAGACTTATCATAGAACAATCTATTGGCTAATATGCAAACAAAACGCGATAATTATCCTGTTTTCTGTTAAAAATCAATTTTTTTTTCTTCGTGTCATGCGTTTTAAACATAAGTTTTTAAAAATATATCGAAGCCTGAATCATGTGGAAATTCCTAAAATTAGTCGTACCAAGGCACTATAAAGGAAGTGATTCACATTCGCTCTAATGAATGACAAGGAAAACATTGAAATGCATTTGTCTCATTTTTTTTTTTATTTTAAAAAAAAAAAAAAAAAAAAAAAAAAAAATTGTGCTTCCAATCCTATTATAAAACACAGAGAATTATTGCTCATGACATTAGAGCACGATTGATTACTTTTTATACAAGCACGCGTTGTTCAAATGAAATTACCTAATTAAGCTAAGGAAACGTTTCCTTAATGATATTTTAAATGTACTTTAATGTGCATTGTGATCTAATTTATCGATAATCCGAGCCGCGGTACACATTGAAATAGTTAATCGCAGTTTATTAACCCCCGTTAAAAAGATAAAGAAAGAGCATAAAAATTTCCAAAAAGCTATTTAGCAATTTCAATTTCAATTGGCAATAAATGTTCCAGGTGATTAAAGACGGTCGAAAATTTGCACATTCTTTTCTCAACGGACGCGCTTAAGTGCGAGAAATTTGAAATGTGTTCCATTAATTCAGAACTCGTCGCTTGACATTAAGCGAGACGGACGATTGTCCGCGGGCGTCGTCTCATCGATGCAAACGACGCGAACGATTCATCCCAGAGGATGACGAGGAGGCGCCCCGCCAGGATAGAATAGACATGCCCAAGGACGTTTTCGTCGCCCGGCAGGTGGGGATGCGCCGGCCAGAGCATCAAGGATGGGTATAAGAGTGGCCGGGATGTGGAGGCGTCGCCAGTTACCCTGACTTTTCTCCCAGTAACACACATACCTGACCGTTCATGAACGATCGCTTCTTCTGGATGTATGGACGAGCCCTTGACGCGCACCTTCGTCTCACCATAAGAGCTTAAGCGTTCATCGAGTCCTTTCGCTGTTGGCGCTTTTCAAGGTACCAATTACATTGGTAAGTTGTCGTCGGGAACGCAATACCATGAGCTTTTTGCAAGCCCTTGTTTTCAAAAGTTCTACTATTAATACTAACACACACGAATGTGAAATGTATTCAAATACAATTATATATATATGTGTGTGTGTGTGTGTGTGTGTGTGTGTGTGTGCGTGCGTATATATCTACATGGCTACATTAGGATAATTAAACTACTAAAGTAATTTAATCGCAGCTAATTGCAGATTAAAATAACTACAATGTTATTAAGGAATGGTGATGTTGTAGCAGAGCTTGAGCTTTCATTAAGGCCGGATATTAGTTTATTAGATTCAAAATCTTTCAAATGTAATATAAGCAAGGAAACTTTTCCTAATATTTTACGGTCCAATTATTTTTGCCTACTAATACTATTTAAGTATGACATATGCTTATAAGTTTTATATATTTAATGAACTCGATTGCGCTGTTACGATTTAAATTTTTAGAAATAATTTTTTTAATGACGGATCTCATCGATTCGTGTTTCTCGATAACCGGATACACAAAAGATGCTTTCCGTGAATATAATCTTAACGATATAAGGTCAATTTATACAATTATTTCAATTATCAATAGTAATAGGGCCAATAAAACCGTATGATCGATTAAATTTTTGTTTATTTATCAATATTATTATTAAATTATGAAATTTAACCGAATATAATATTATCGTATGTGTGTTTATATATATATATATATATATATATATATATATATATATAATATTGCCAACAATACGTCAACAAATGCCTATAAACAGTATATAAATAACTATGAATTAATACGTGGGTGTCGGAGTGTGTATGATGTGAGTGAGGAATAGTGTGTGTTCATATATAGTATCATCATAAAACTTGAAATGATTATTTAAAATTCTAGAATTTAAAATAAAAAAGGATTATATGTCTGACATCAGTTTTTAGTAAATAAAAACTATAATTTTGCAATAAAATTTTATTTATAAATATGATCTTATAAAAAGAATCTAATTGTTTTTAAACTCATATGTTCTATCACTATTTTTTCTCTTCAAATTAACATTAGATACAATAAACGCTTGAATAATAAACAATTAATATACAATAAACAATAAGTATTATTTTTATGAAATAAAATTAAAAATTTAACAATTTTTATAATATCCAAAGCATATTTTTGTATATAAACTCATAGTTAAATTATAATTTTAATTACATACTATTTTATAATAATAAATACGATTTTTTATAAGCAGTTAATTAATTAAGAAAATAGTAGATGCAAAAATGAAATAAAAAAGAAAAATATTTTTAAATTCGAAACATTTCTGAATTATTAATTTGACTAATTTTATAATTTAGAAAAAGTAATTCATCATTTAATAAAAGCAAAGAAATTTTATCTATAATGATATTTTATTTATAAAGGACATATAAAGATAAAATATTTTTATATAAATTCACTATTTTTTTTTTCTCTATTCGTATATATAATAATTTCATTTAATATTTAATTGTCTCAATAATTTACCTAATCTTGACAATTCGTTTGTTCTTTCAATAAGCCGTTCATTCAATTTATCATTTTCATTTTCCGAACAAAGAGATTTGTTTTATCTTACATTTATATATAATTTTATGTCTAAGACTATATAAGTATTTGTACGAATTGTGAGAGATAATATGCGACAGTTCGAAACATTGTCGTTATGAATTTTAAACAAAATTTTTAATTTAATATATGAACTGAATTAAATCTTACATTACCCTACATCATTTGAAAAATAGAAAAAATTTATTAATATATTTGGCTTATTTTTAACATATTTGACTTTTTGGCATAAATAATATGACAAAGAATTAAATGTATTAATAATATAATAAAAAGCATTAAATTTATAATTAATACTATGAATAGCAACCAACTTTTTCTCCGTGATCCTCTCATAGAAGGAATAATACAAATTTTATTTCACACGTTCATAAGAATGGCGTTAAATAAATTATTTCTTAATCTTCGTGCCCTTTCCGTAAAATAATCCTTAAAATATTATACCATTGTTCAAGAGGCTTTTAATCTTATCCAAACTTATTCCCTTATAATTCATAATACTTATAATTCATAATAAATTAAAAAAATAGCGAGGCTTATAAGAAAATCTCTTTCTCAATGCTTTATTTTTTATTAAGAATTTAAATGTATTATAAAGTAGCGCATTATGTTGTTTATTTAGGGAAATGTTATTAAAACTTTATTAAAAATACAACAAATGTCCATAAACAAATTACTTAAAAGCAATGGCATTGTCAAAGGAATAAAATTTATGCTTTTGCTCTTTACATTTGCTCATATTTCAAAAACAATAAATTATTATATGTATACAACATGTACAACCTAATATATTATACGATAGAAACGTATATTTTTACTTAATAACTTTGAAAAATTTTATATAAATAAGAATATAATCTGAAATGGCAAATAGTCCTGAAACACTAAAGTAATTTTAAAAGTTATGAAATAAGATATGATTTTTTATTTTACTATATGTTAATATAACAATAATTATAATTATTTATCACAATATTATTATTATTATTATTATTATTATTATTATCATCATCATCATCATCATCATCATCATCATCATCATCATCATCATCATCATCATCATCATCATCATCATCATCATCATCATCATCATCATCATCATCATCATCATCATCATCATCATCATCATCATCATCATCATCATCATCATCATTATTATTATTATTATTATTATTATTATTATTATTATTATTATTATTATTATTATTTTTATTTAATATTTAAATTTTTCATATTTATATATTTCATATTAATATTTAAAATCTATCTATAGTATTCGTCGAAACAGCAATGATATTATTTTAAATCTGTTGCAGATTAAGGAAAATGAGAGCCATACGCATTTTATTCGTATGTCTTGCAACATTCAGTTATTTTGTCAACGCCAAACCTAATGTTGAAGATGGCACATTACTCGAAGATGGTTACCATTACCAGAAATCGAACTCAAATTCAAACTCAAACAGCTACAGCCAAACTAATGATCACAAAGAAGAACTACAAGGAATTATAAATGGCCGAACTTTTAAGGGTGAAAAGAAATCCGGTTACAGCACAAGTGGAGCCAGTCATACTCATAGCAGTTCCTACTCATCTGGTTCTTTTACTAGCAATGTCCCAGCAAGTCTCTTAAGTGATCTGGGCTCTAATGATCCATCGCAGTCCAATATCGCAATTGGATCATATCCAGGGACCGGACATCTCAATCTTCAAAGCTCATCTGCAAATAGTAATCAAAATACTATAAAACCAGCAAAACAAGGGAATCAAACATATTGGTGGTTATCCGAGAATAGTCCATTCAAACCACAAGGCGGATGTACTTCGAAGAGCTGTTATGTAAGTGGAGCTGCTCCACTTGGTGGGGCAGTAGAAACAACAAGTAGTGCCGTTGCCAACGAGACTAATACTGGTTCAGTTGCCGCACTTCTATCTGCAGGATCAATCAGCGCATCTAATCCATTTTTAAATACATCACACGGAAAACACGGGACGGTAAATCTTGCTGGCTCTATAATTGCATCGGGTGAACATTTTGGATCACACGGTGTATCTAGTGCTCAGGCAAATGGTCTTGGAGAACAATATAATACACAAGGAGGATTTGGATCAACTATTGGAGGACCTATATCAGGTTTAACATACAATGGACAAAATCATGGTGGATATGCGGGAATTGGATCTCAAGGGTCTGTCCAAAGTACCGTGGGTGGACAAATTGGGGGACAAATTCAATCGAGTAGCCAAACTGGTTTTGGAGTGCAGGGGGCTAATTCAGGATTGAATCAAGGTGGATTCGTTAGTGGATCTGGTGCACAAGTGGGCAACCAAGGATATGGAACTCATACAGGATATGGAGGTCATTTAGTATCAGGTTCCCATGGAGTTAGCGCATCTATTGGCCATGGGTCCAGCATAAGTCATGGTGGCCACCACCATGTTGGACATCATCATGGTGCACATGCAGGAATTGGTTCCCAAGGGTCAATTGAAGGAAACGTAGGTGGGCAAATTGGTGGGAAATACCCAAACTGGTCTTGGGGCGCAAGCAGGTAGTACAGCTACGAGTCAAGGTGGATTGGTTAGTGGATCTGCTGCACAAGTGGGCACCCAAGGACATGGAACGTATGTAGGACACGGAGGTCATTCGGTCTCAGGTTCCCATAGCGTTAGCGCATCTTTTGGTCATGGATCTAGTATAACTCATGGTGGACATCATCATGGGGGATATACGGGAATTGGATCTCAAGGATCTGTTCAAGGTACCGTGGGCGGTCTAAACGGAGGACAGGTTCAATCAAATACCCAAACTGGTCTTGGGGCGCAAGCAGGTAGTACAGCTACGAGTCAAGGTGGATTGGTTAGTGGATCTGGTGCACAAGTGGGCAACCAAGGATACGGAATCCATACAGGAAACGGAGGTCATTTAGTCTCAGGCTCTCATGGTGCTAGCGCATCTATTAGCCATGGGTCCAGCGGAACTCATGGTGGCCATCACCATGTTGGGCATCATCATGGTGCACATGCAGGAATTGGTTCCCAAGGGTCAGTTCAAGCAAACGTAGGCGGCCAAATTGGGGGACAATTTCAATCGAGTAGCCAAACTGGATTTGGAGTGCAATCGGGTAATTCAGGATCGAGTCAAGGTGGATTGGTTAGTGGATCTGGTGCACAGGCAGGCACCCAGGGATACGGTACCCAGACAGGAAACGGTGTTCCCATAGCGTTAGCGCATCTTTTGGTCATGGATCTAGTATAACTCATGGTGGACATCATCATGGGGGATATACGGGAATTGGATCTCAAGGATCTGTTCAAGGTACCGTGGGCGGTCTAAACGGAGGACAGGTTCAATCAAATACCCAAACTGGTCTTGGGGCGCAAGCAGGTAGTACAGCTACGAGTCAAGGTGGATTGGTTAGTGGATCTGCTGCACAAGTGGGCACCCAAGGACATGGAAACCATGTAGGAAACGGAGGTCACTTAATCACAGGTTCTCATGGAGTTAGTGCATCCGTTGGTCATGGATCTAATGTAATTCATGGTAGCCATGCTGGAATTGGTTCTCAAGGGTCAATTCAAGGAAACGTAGGTGGACAAATTGGTGGACAAGTACAATCTTCCACACAAAATGGATTTGGAGTACAGGGGGGTAATTCAGGATCGAGTCAAGGTGGATTGGTTAGTGGATCTGGCGCACAAGTGGGCACCCAAGGACATGGAACGTATGTAGGACACGGAGGTCATTCGGTCTCAGGTTCCCATAGCGTTAGCGCATCTTTTGGTCATGGATCTAGTATAACTCATGGTGGACATCATCATGGGGGATATACGGGAATTGGATCTCAAGGATCTGTTCAAGGTACCGTGGGCGGTCTAAACGGAGGACAGGTTCAATCAAATACCCAAACTGGTCTTGGGGCGCAAGCAGGTAGTACAGCTACGAGTCAAGGTGGATTGGTTAGTGGATCTGGTGCACAAGTGGGCAACCAAGGATACGGAACCCAGACAGGAAACGGTGGTCATTTAGTATCAGGTTCACATGGTACAACTGTATCTATAGGCCATGGATCTAGTGTAACTCATGGTGGACAAGCAGGAATTGGATCCCAAGGGTCTGTCCAAGGTAGCGCGGGTGGACAAAGTAGCGGACAAGTTCAGTCAAATACCCAAACTGGATATGGAGTGCAGGGGGGTAATTCTGTATCGAATCAAGGCGGATTCGTTGGTGGATCCGGTGCACAAGTGGGCAGTCAAGGATACGGAACCCATACAGGACATGGAGGTCATTTAGTCGCAGGTTCTCATGGAGTTAGTGCATCCGTTGGTCATGGATCTAACGTAATTCATGGCGGACATACTGGGATAGGAACTCAAGGATCTGTTCAAGGTATCGTTGGTGGACAAAGTGGCGGACAGGTTCAATCGAGTAGCCAAACTGGGTTTGGAGTGCAAGCAAGTAGTTCAGCATCGAGTCAAGGTGGATTGGTTAGTGGATCTGCTGCACAAGTGGGCACCCAAGGACATGGAAACCATGTAGGTAACGGAGGTCATTTAATCTCAGTTTCCCATGGCGTTAGTGGATCTCTTGGACATGAATCTAGCGTAATTCATGGTGGACATGCGGGATTTGGATCACACGGATCTGTTCAAAGTACCTCTGGTGCACAAATCGGAGGACAAGTTCAATCGAGTAGCCAAACTGGTTTTGGAGTGCAAGCAAGTAGTTCAGCATCGAGTCAAGGTGGAGGATTCATTAGTGGATCTGCTACACAAATAAATGGTATTAGTGGAGAACACGTAAACGATTATAGCAGTCAACTTCAGGGTTCTGAATTGAATAGTAATGCTGGATCTGGAGGTCCGGTTATCATCCAGAGTAGTGTGAATGCTATAAATGGTGCCCATGGAGAAATTATAAATCAAAGTGAATTTGGTGGACAGATTAATTCGAGTTCTGCTGCACTTGGTGTTAATAATAATGGAGTGAGTGGATTCGGTATTTCTTCCAGCCATAGTGAAATTGTCGGTTCCGTAGGTGTCGAAGGAAATGCTCAAAGTAGTTTTACCATTTCTCCTGGTTATAATGTACTTGCCGGATCTAATATTGGAAATGCAACTAGCAATCAAGCAAGTGTTATTGCAACAGGACAATATTCTGAAAATCAGAAACCTGTTATACCACTTGTAACTGGATATAGTATTGACTGTAATGGAGCAGGGAAAATTTGTGTTAGCAAACATGAATGCATCAATGGATATGTCAGCTTAATTGGAATTACAGAAGTCAGTCAGAAGGTCAGTAATCTTGTTTATTAATAGTATATTATTATTTTCAATTTAGAGGAAGGGCAAATCATTTTATATATCCTTGTTGTCGTTAAGCATTCATTGATCACGAAAGTGTCACATAATTGGGAACATTTTTATTTTATTTGACTAATTATTCTTGAAATAATTGGATTAATGATTAAATTGTTCTGCACATTGTTTTATTATTGTAAACTCGTATTTTATTTTTAAATGAAACTTGAAATGTAAGAGTATAAAATTTTTAGGAATGTGATAGTCTAAAATTTCTTGTATTATTTATAAAAACTATGAATATTTATTAGAAATTATCTATACGTTTCTTATTTAGATAATTGCAATAATCACAATATATTAATAATAGTTTAATTGTATATGTGAATCGTATTGCCTAAAGATAATATAATGTAAAATCGTAATTTTGTTTATTACCGTATAAAACGTATTAATTTTGTATATCAAAACTAAAAATCATTGTAAGGAATATACAATTCGCTTTTGTATTAAAAATAATCTTATTAAAGTTACTTAATCTTCATTAAGTAATAGTATAATATTAATTGGGTAAATCGTTTATTCAATATTGAAATTTGACGACAGAATAATATTCCTACAATATTAGAGTAATACCAAATTAAATATTTTGTAATATAATTCATTGTAATTATTGATCTATCGTGAAATAAAAACGGTCATTCTTAGCTCGAACAGTTCTAATATATTTAGAAGTTACAACAAATTGATTAATTTATTAGTTAAAGGATCCATATTAGACAATCTGCGATAATTATCTCTTGTGATAATTCCGGTTTCTTACTAATTTGTTCTTCAATTGGTAATAATTGTCACGAGTCGAATGACTTTTCGATTATTTATTTCACTTATTTATTTCACTTACGTAACACTTATAGTTAAAATATTTTATAAACATACAGTTATATATATTTTCTGCGTGTGCATTTAATTGCATACATTTCCTAAAGAAAATGTATAAATGATCATGCATCCAATGATTGATCGATTACACTGTCTTGAACGTAGTCGCTCAATGTAAATCTTCATCCGATTTAGATTTTCCTCTTTCTATTTAGATGTAAAATAGTAATCATTTGGATCATCAAGGAGGCTTTGTGTACTTGAACTGAATTCATTCTAGAATATCCTTTTAGAGTTTCTAAATAATAAAAAAAGTAAATTCCTTTTGTAACTTTTATTCAAGCCTATTTAAGGACATCTATTTTTCTAGGATTATGTAATAAGTTTTTATGGGAGTATCCGACACTTGATTTATTATATTTCTATAAAAAATATTTTATGAACAAAAATGAGATCGATTTGCTTCATCAATATTCACTTACGAAGCAAATAAAATAAAATAATATGGAACTTAATTTATAATCGACATTTATTTCTGTGACCAAAGAACATTTGTATCTTCTATTCTAACAAATCACGTAAAAATTATAATCGATTATAAATAATTGTTACCGTTTGTTCATAATATACGATATTTAGGTCGACTAAAAAACCTAAATAAACGTGACTTGAAATTACAATTCGAAATTACAATTTGGTAGTCTTATAAAAGTAAATAATGCATTATTCTATGGAGATTTCTCATATAAGAGAGTAAGAAACATCAGGGAATCCCATCATCATCCGTACCTCACTTTGGTATTCTCCTAAATTAAGAATGACGTAGGACAGCCTTCGTATCTCCATTTGGTTTATTAAGTAAATGTGGCCGAAAAATTCAACCCATTGATTTACGATCCCTCTTCTCTCTAAGAAGTAAATTAAAAAATGAATGACGCATACAGTGAGATGTGTGGCCTTTCACCGCAATGACCTCGCAAGGAAGAATCCGAGGAAGAATTGTTTCCACTCCACCTACTCTTTTTCGAGGAAGTGACGCATGCGTCTTATATTATGATGTATCGCGACCTTGAGGAGTTGCAAAAATTAGGTCGACGATGTATTTTGGAAATACCCCATCATCAACCCACACCGTCGAATGAATACACAATCGATAAAAGATGCAATTTCACTTACATTAACGTCCATTTATGACTTACGATCTAATATAGAATCCTTCCTGTTCCTATTACTCAATAGGATAACAAAACAAGTGAAGAAACGAAATGTACGAATAGTTTTTCCGACTTCTAACTATAACGAATGACTATTCATTATTTCATTTACCTAAAAAAATTATAAATTATTAATCCTCGTCGCACTTAGTTTAAATTATACATCTAATTCTAATATTTGCCATAAAATATAAATAATATTTAATTTAAATTACGTTTAATAATATCAAAATTATTCTATATACCATTATTGATACTTTAATATAATTTTGGAATTTTTTTAGAAAATTTCCTCAAAATTGCTTCCTTTATAAAACTTTTAAAAAATAAATTTCCATAATTTAGTTCAATTATTATTTAAATTTTATTTAATACTTCATTATGAAGAGCTTTTTTATGATATAAAGAATTTAACAGATAGTGGTACATCCGCCAGTAATTCTGAAATTAAAAACTCTATATATATATATATATATATATATATATATACATATATATATATATATATATATATATATATTATTGGAAATTTGTTTTTGTAATTTATAAACAAAATGTATTACAAATTTTCACTTTTATTTGTATATATTTTACAATGTAAATATTTTGTTTGTATTATTAAATTTATTATTTTATTTTCTTATTAGACTTCAAAAATAGTTTCTAAATTAAATCTTCGGATATTTTTTCCGATATACAATAAAATGTTAGTTCGTAATTTATCTTTTTACGTATTATTCAATAGTCAATTAATGAGAGATGGCATTTTCAACAAAAATTGTCTATCTATTTATTTTGGAATTCTCAAAAAATTAATAGGCAATATATTATCATTCCAACTAGTCATTTGTGCATTAATAAGAATGAAAATATAGTAAACAAAAAAATTATTTTTATACATTTAAATATTTTTTCTTATTTCTAGAATTTTTTTAGGTAATTTTTATTTCAATTTGCAAACTTCTATAAAATGTTAATATACGATAATTCTAACATTTATTTTCGTTATCTATACCTTAATATATCATATTATATAAAAAAAATTTATTGTTAACGTTGACGCGAGGTAAAGATAAATTTAACTTCAATTTAATTAAATCAAATTTAATTCATTACATAACATTAATTGTAATGCTGCGCATTTTACAGATTTTAGATAAAACTTTTCACATTTTAATACTTTTTTAAAAATAAATGTAATAAAAATACATATTTAAATGACACGATAGTCGTAGTAAAAAGTGTTTAAAAATATATATCAGAGTTATCTGCTCTTTGCCTTTGATTAGTTTCGTAATCAACGACTTTCGTAGTAAATATTCACTTTATTGATATTTATGATATTTCGATCATACTCCTCCGTTCTCGGTGAAAGCTCACGTAATATAATAGTATATAGTATATGTTTATGGCAAATTGGTGCATTCGGATGTGGTTAATGTGTGTAATTACGCATCTTACATCATAGCATAACTTTAAAAAGTATTCCAAAATTTTATGATATAAAGAATTTAACAGATAGTGGTACATCCGCCAGTAATTCTGAAATTAAAAACTCTATATATATATATATATATATATATATATATATATACATATATATATATATATAAATGCATTTGTGCTGACCAAGTATATAATTGCGCATAGTAATTATCGGTATCTGTAGATATACCAGTTGTGTAAGATCATACTCATCTTCATCTTTTTCCTTTTCTTTCTTTTTGTGATTTATAGATTAAACTTTTTTTTTTAATGACGTACATTACATTACGAATTTTTTTTTTTTTTTTTTTTTTTTTTTTTTTTTTTTTTTTTTTTTTTTTTTTATAGATGTTACGTATATGACAGAAAATTGTAAATTCTTAAGCTTGTCAGTTAAATTCTTTTATACAATACATATTAAATTCAGTATTGAGTGTACGTAAATGTACAAGATAATTCTCTTTTTAACGATGATCGATAATTAATCTTCAATTTTTCTACTTTATTTATGCCTATCCATTTCTGTTAATATTTATATTAATTTCTCTGGATTCTCTTAAGCATGTATATTACATTCATAAACTATTTAATCATTTTCAAATGCATATTGTGTTTAGTAACTGCATAACAAGTCAGTTTGATTAAATTTAATATTAATTTTTATTATTCGCATTGAAATACTCATTAAAAAAATTTCAACTAAATTGAATATCTAATAAATAGATTAACAGTACATTTTACTTTATCCAATTATTTTATTTTATTTATTCACTTTCATTTTACGAAAAATTATTTAGAAAGTACAATTATTCTACGTTTCGGCATTATATCAAGTTATTGCACAATTTTTATCCAATAATCATACGTTATTTTTCTCAGCAACAGTTTAAATAGAATAAATAATAATTTAATTATAGAACGTAGATTACATATGTACTGTAAATGCATATAAGTACTCCTTAAAATAAATTTTAAGTCATTATTAATGAACTAACCGTAATTTAAAGCAGGTTTCTTCCAAAAATATGTACAAGCTCTACAAGATATTAAAAAAAGGGATGAATTAACGACACATTCATAGGCATATTTTGGAGGTTAATACAAAGCTTTGTAGTTTAACAGTCGCAAATGATTTCTCCAATATAATTTTATTAATATGACTAATAAACAAATAATTAATATCAATAGTAATGTTCATAATATCATTTTTCAAATAGATAGGTATATTTATTATATAATGTTTTTAAATATTATGTAATTACTTTGTGATACTTATATAATAATAATTATTATTGATTAAAAAAACATTCCACAAGCGTATATTAAGTACAATTAAGTAGAATAAATCTCATATTTTAAAATACTTTTTAATGATCATGCCTTATACTTAATTAATTTTTAATGAGTTAAGTCAAAAATTTTTATTAACATTTC